ACTAAGAAAAACAGTAAGAAAGACAAAACAGATTTCAACCAGAAGTGTGTAAAGAAGAGAATAGTATAAAAAAATAAAAATGTCCCACATCAGGTAAGTGATCAGTACCTAATCTGTTCTACATAGAAATTGAATACCATTTTTCTAAGTCTTTGTACATATTTTTTTACTTATTCTTTATATTTTTCAAACTATAGTCTTCAATTCTGGTTTTGACAAGATGACAGTCCAAAAATAAATTGAATAATGAAAACACTTCATTTCAAAAATCAGAAAATTATTAGAAATTATAATCTAGAAGATATATTTTTAGTTACACAGTCAGTAAAAATTAATTCCAGGAAAAGGTTTTACATATACACAACTAAACAACAAAAACTGAATTGAATTCATTCTTAAAGAAAATGTGGTATTCTATTTAATTTCAAGCCTTAAAACCATGTTAATAAAGATATAATCATTCTTTTAAATATTATTAAAAAATTCTAAACAATTGAGGCAACAATGATTTTGGAACCTTTTTCACTTAAATATCAAAGTAAATAAAGAAGATCAATGAATGAAAATAAATTACAGCTTGAAATAAAAACATAATTATGAAGACAAAATAAAATCTTGAAAGACTAATTAAAAAGTGAAGTAACAGTTTGTTTTTTTTTTTAAATTATCTTTAATCCAGTGAACAGGTTTACCAGAATAACATTCCCTCAAGAGTCTAATCCCTATAAATTGATGATGACAATCATGAAGATATTCCAAGGGCCAAATGAACAGGGGACATGTCATTGGAAGTACTGACAGCTCTAAAATAGTTAAATTTACCCAAAATGTCTAGGAATAGTGCACCGACAAGTTGCTAGGTTTCACTGAGTTAACAAACTACACTTGGTTTATTTCTAAGACAATAAATCATCTTACACTTGGTGACAGTCAATAATTTACAAGCAGATAGAGAGTTGGCAAATAAAAGACTGTATTTCATTCATATTAAATTTGTAAAATAATTTCTTTTTAATATTGCCTCTACCAAATTATTTTAATAACCATAAAACTGAACAAAAACTGATGAAACTACAATACATTTCTCATTTAAAGTAGTTTGAATACAAGTTGAAAATCTCAAGATATTCTAGTCTGTGATTCATGCCAGGAAATAGCAGATGGTCCAAATTGAATTTAATGTCTATCAGGAACCGTTGATCAAATAGGAGTTGATCTGTACTCACTCCAATATGTATTAGACTCACCCCAGTTGTTACCAAATTGGACTTTGCACTGGGTGTTAAACCAAGCCATCAGAAAAACAAGGTGCATAAGCAGGCTGAGCTAGAAAACAACCTCCTAGCCACCAGGTGCAGATTCAGTGGCTACCCACAACATGTAGACAGGTAGTTGACCTTGCTGCACTTTGGACGTGTACATATGGGACAACCATATATATAAATAGATATATAAGTGCTCCACCTAAGAGGGATACAAAAGAGAGTCTCTTACATCTTTGTGTGAAGAAGAATCCACATTTGAATAAAATTCCCAAAGCCACACACTCACTTGCCAATAGTCAGAGTTGAATAAATAATAATATTAAATGTGAGAGATTTAGTCTCATGTTTGTATTAGTCTGTACAATAACATTACAATATGATAAAACTGTAAATAGTTCCTTTTTTATTATCCAATAATCTTAGTTTTACTATTTTTCATATAAATACCTGAAATAATACTCTTGAAAAGTTACAAAAAGATAAAAACAGTATTCAATAAACTGAAAGTAGCAATTATGAATGATGTTAGTAATAGCTGGAGATAATTCATAATTCAAACACATTAGCCAGTTATACCAAAAAGCCAAATATTATGAAGTACATTTTATCTTCAGAACTGAACTAAATGAGATTTATAATCTTTATAATTTCTAAAACTTTACTTTCATTGAAAAAAAAAAAAAAAAATTATTAATAAATATTAATTACAAGAAAAAAAAATTAGTAACCATTAAACTATATTTCAGCTAAGGAATAGTTTGTTTTCAATAACTAAAAATAAGGAATTAATAAATAACAAAAAAAAAAATTTCATTAAATAAATATAATTAAAAATAGCACAAGTACAATATTTTTTAAAATATTCCTTGCAGAAATTCTCAAACAGAAAAGTTTACAAAAGCATTTACACTAACAAACCAAACAGCAGTGAGGGACACCAATCCAAATCGTAACTGTGTTTCATGCTATGCAATCAGACAATAAGAACTAAGCCAAATATATTGCTATGATTTTATCTTAAATACTATTGGTGACAGGTAATATTCTAGTCTAACTCAGGTTTACTCCAGTAATTCTGATACTAATGTGTTACGAAGCAATCAAATAAAAATTTATTACTTATTTTCTTTAAATGTAAATTTCTTTACATTAAAAGAATGGAAACAAAAAGTTATATACATATATTGTAGTACAGTGATAGAAAAATACTTCTATTTCAGTACTTGAACATATACAATATTAAAAATATTTGCTGCTCTCAATGTATTTTCAGCAAAACTTTAGTCAATAATTAAATATTTTATTAATGACATGAAAATAGCAAGAACAGTCTTTGGTTTAATTTAAATTTACTCAATCATGATTTCAATCCACAAAAGCATTCTAAAAACAAGTAATATGCTTACAAGAAGGCCCAAAGACTTATTAATAGTAATACCAAAGTTAAATAGCTTTAAAAATTTTGCTTTGAGATGCACCTTAATTAACCTGGTGAACAAAAGCATTAAGATTACTTTTTAAAAAATCTGATGCATTAAGCATAAGTGAGGTTTAATTCAACATGTTTTTTTTTCCTTTAACTAATACAGACAATCAAGATATTGAAAACTTCTTGTAATAAAAATTGAACTGAACCTAACCTCCTTCCCCATCTTTTGGAATAATGGGTGTAAAATACTCTTCCACAATTATGCGGAGAGAACTAAAAAGAACAACTGTAATTGGAGTGAGAGAAGAAAAGAGAGATATGCACAAAAAAAAAAAAAAAAAAAAAACACAGACCTTAAATTGTTTATCAAATTCTACCATTCTAATGAAATAGATCAACACTGGTTGTACAGAAGTCATTCCAGTTTCTGCTAAAAGTATTAAACTTTGAAGTGTATATAAAATTAATAAAAAATAAAAAAAACATTGAAGGCATAATCTTATTTGCAAAACATTGAATTTGGACTGTCATCTTAGTTCAAGCCAGGTTGCAATTTTTTCTACAAACTTTTGTAAATAAAAAGAATATAACATCTTTAAAATTGAAAAATATATGAGAAATCTTTTAGCAATTTAAATTTTACAAATTTATTTTTTTTATTATGGTTTTAAAATTGCAGGCAGCTGCTGTTAAACAAATTTTTGTTATGAATTCATAAGAAAAAAAGTTAATTGCTTCAGTTCTTATACCATTGCAACCATGATCAACTATGTATGATTCTTTGAGTAAGGAACCAACAAGGCCTGTGATGTCATTGGCTGGCATCTAATAATTACAAAGTAGCTTTTTTAGTTGGTGCACACAAACAATAGCTCAGCCCATAAAAAAGGCACCAGAATTTGAATCCAAACACAGTGAACAGGAAGACAGACAGAAGATAAAATAGATAAATTCTCACAATAGCACCACTTTGTGCCATATTCAAATAAAAATAATCATGTCAACACCCAGCATTAAACTGCAAAACTCCTCAGCCTCTAAACCCAACTTAAAATATAAAATAAAATATATATATATATATATATATATATATATATATATATATAGGTGTGTGTGTGTATACACACAAAAAGGAAAAGGATAAGGGTAAAATGTAAGAAGATTACCTTATCAAACATTTCTTTGGTTAGAGAAACAGTAGACATTATACAGAATATGTATGCATGTGTCTGTGTATGTTTGTATGTGTGTGTGTCTGTGTATATATATATATATATATATGTATGTATGTGTGCTTAGAATGGACAAAACATTTACATGAATGAGAAAAGTAGTCACTAAATTCATAACAAGAAATTAACAAACTTTCACATAACAATTCTACAATTCAAAGGAGTTATTGATTGTTGATAAATTTGACACATAAATATTTTAGAGCTTTTCATTAGGAATAACCAAGAAAAATATGAATATTGCAGTTGAATAAGGCCTCATTGCCCCTGCTCTTTGATTAAACACAAAAGTAATTCGATTTTTCGTCCTTTTTGTTTAAAACAATATTTGGGAAAACTCACCATTTTTGTATCACATTTGGACCCAGAAGGATTTTGTTTTAAACAATATCTTGTTTGCATTTAAATTCTTTTTTATAAAGTTTAGAGATAGAAACTTTTTATCTGGAAGTTGATCAAAGAAAGTAATGTTCTTTTGTAAAACTTTGATTGCAAACACATTATTTATAATTTATTAGTAAAAAATTGCATCTTATTTTTTGTCAGGTAGGGGGTGAAATAGGTTTTTGCTTTGTATTTTTTTTTGTATTTTAGCTTTTTTTATGTTTTCTATTTTCTTGAAAAAAATATTTAGTTCATATCATGTCACAAATTCTCCCATTTTTCACCAATGTCTCTCAAATACAAAGCAACAATTCTTTTCTGTTGCTATCTTTATTCAATCCAGGAATTTAGGATATTTTCATTGTAATTTTGAGCATTTTTAAATTGGGAATATTTTTTAGCCAATTTGAACTGTTTTTATTTGTAGATATTTACTAAGCTTAGCCCATTCTGGCACAAGGCCACAATTGTGGAACACTCAGTAAGAATCAAACTCACTAACAATGAGTTCTGACACTAACTTGCTAACAACAGCTTCACAGAAAGTGCCACAACTCTCCCCATGTTTGAGTGCCACCGGTATCTACAACCATTAATATTATTTCAGATTTAAGACCTCAAGCATTAATGGTTCAATCTCAGTTGGATTTACTTGTAGCAACACTTTTGAATGCTCTTCACTTAGCTCTTTCAGCTCGGCAAGTTTCTGTAAGAGGAATGGTAACATCTCTTTTGCATGTGAAAATGAATATTCTGCTTCCAGATAATGCTTAAGAAGTGTGATATAATGATCTTGAATATCAGAGATTAAAGTCCGACAACCCAAATTAGGTCCTTCTGGATTGAAAATGATGATCAGCTGCATTAAAGTCATCATTTCGTGATTGTCCTGTACCACATCCTTGAGGGTACGGCAGTAACGAGTGTGTGAATCGTGGAGGCTTATGTATCCTGTTGCCTTTTTTAGAATTTTGGTTGGCACTTCTCCCTTAGCCGTAATCCACACATCCTTCTCTGATGAGTAGAATGCAACCGAACGCAAGAGGATTGTACTAAGAACGCAGGCTTTTAAGGCGGCAATCTGGTCATCTTGGCTCAGACGCATGAAATCATTAATGCGTTTTACAAACTTGATTAACCGCCGAACGGCAATCTCAGAGTTATTTACCAACTGGTTTATTGTCGAGTAGTTGTTTTGGTCACTGTGATAGGAGTCTGTGAATGAAGCCAGAGTCGATTCATAAAGGACAGTTAGTTCTTTAATGAAGACTGACTCACTTTCGGTAAGTTTACGGTACATATCCCTGTCTGTTGGTAGATTTGTCAAATCAATCTTAAATGTGGTATGTTCTGATGAGGCGCTCGTTGGGGTTGGTGAGTTTTCACTGAAATTACTGACAGGTGTATTTGTTATTAGTTCTGACCAATCAGTGCCAACTTCTTGTTCAGAAGAGGTTACTTCATCTCGACCCTTAGTTTTTATCTGACGTTTTTGACGATTCTCTAATACTTTGGCCATTCTGGCTTTCCGTTCTGTTTCATCTAGAAATAAAAAGAAAGAGAAATTGCAATTCAAACTTTTACTGCATCATTTTAATCAAATTCAGTAATCTGATATTTCCTTAAACTTAACCAATTAATCAGTTTGTGGTAAAAAGACATTAAACATTGACATAAAAATAAGATTATCTGGACAGAAATGAAAAGCTTTGAATTTGCAATTGTCAATATATAAATATTTAAAACTCTAGTAACTCATTCATTAACTACTGATAATGGAAAAATTATTCATTAAAACATTTGCAAACTTCAAAAAATGAACACCTTCAACAATTGCAAGAATTCCAAATTATGTCCTCATTATCAAAGCATGCAACTACTTCAAACTTTTTAACACAGAAACCTTTAAATTACACATATATGGGTTATGGACTTATGATGTGATGTCTCATATTATTTTAGGTTTATCTTCAAACTTGGGAAGAATTTTCAACTGGTAAAACTTTCCTGTATATATAACCAAGTGCTGAAGGGTTACGAAACAATTATTCAAGAAAACCTCAAACAAGACTATACCACAGATGTCCACCAAAGTGAAAAACGTTAAGCTATAAAGAATTTAGAGATTTGCTATTTTAAAAAATCTAAGTTTAAAAAAAAAAAAAAAAAAAAAAAAAAGTAATTAAGTCAGCTAAAGAATAATGCAATACAAACACTGTCAAATATTTTACCTAAGATCATGTCCTTTTTCATTCCCACATTAAAGCACTTCTGCAAGCGACAATGGGGGCAGAACCTTCGAGTCCTCACATCAATTACACAATTTCCTTGAAACAAACACCTTGTGCTCTGCAAAAATGAAAGAACAAACACAACAAATACTGAATCAAAAGACAAACAAAATGAAAAAGTAAAACAAAAAACATTTCTTCAACTTATATGCTAAGCAATGTACAATAATACTTAAATAGGAAGTAATGATGGAGAGTCAGTCACTTGTCTGATATTTTAATGGAAACAATTTCAATTTAGCTAACTTTGATAATTTCTTTTGTCACACTGGCCTCCAGCTAAATCATTTTATTAAGCATTTTTCCCTAGATGTGTGGGTGGTGTAATAGATAGCGGTTCAGAATGAGCAAATTGGAGAGTCAAGTTTGAATTTCAGTAGAGTGTTACATTCACTTACTCACAAATACACTTGGGGAAAAAAAATGAATGTATCTCCCCCAAAGCTTTGGGTTAAATAGTAGAACTTGTATATGATAAAAATCACTTATTATCAAAAATTAATTTTCTTGGCTTTAAATAACTCACAAAGAGTTAAGCTGTAAAAAGCAAATCAATAAATCAATAAGCTTATTTTTCTTAATCTTTCATTTTTGTTTTCAAAACATTTTCTTTTGTTTTCTGAAAAGTAAAATGTTTGCTGTGCTAGCCAAAAATACAGGGAATTTAAACTGTACAAACATTTTTTTAATTTAAACAGTACAAACATTTTTTACTATTCTTAGCTTTTCACCTAATTTCCATGATCATAACAGCAAAATGATTTACCCTAACATTTAGTTTTCACTTTTTTCTTACTTTGACTTTCATCTGCCTTGTAGACCATATGGAATATGAGATTGTTCTGAAATAATTATTTTTCTTTTAATATTATTATTATAATTAAAAAAATAAATCTTTTGATGTATCACTGAGGAAGACCTCAGATTAGATTTTTAATTAAAAGTGAGTGACATGCTAAAATTCCAATGACATGTTGAAAAACAAAGACAGAAAAACATAACTGACTTTTACAAATGCCTCCCAGATTAAGGTAATTCTGATTTAAAATCTTTTGCCAGATGATTAATTTCAGCATTTCACTCAACTTTTATGTGAGAAAACAGTTCTAGAAATGAAATATAAAATCTGGATGAAGATCTGTCTTAAGTGACTGATATTTACATTCAATTTTGATGATTTATAAGAACAAATTTTAAATCACAGTTGAATTTTGGTTTATTTATTGATTTATCTACCTATAATAGTGTGTAGTGGGAGCAAAAAGTTTCAAGAATTTGATCCTGAAAGGAAAATTTAAATGGTGGCAAAATTTTTAAAAATGTGGTAGGGAAAAGCAAATAAGAAAAATTCATTACCTTGCTGCCTCTTGCATTACGTCGGAAAAAAGCCTTACAGGATTCACAGGTGACTGCATCAAAATTGTATCCAAGGGCAACATCCCCACACACTCGGCAACGCTTCTCATCTTTGATTTTTTTCTTTTTATTTCCAGAATTTTCATCTTTATCTTTTGGAGGATCTGTAGACGAGTCAGAGATTCCAGAAATCTTGGCTTCCTCAAAATCATTCGGACTCATCAAGCATTCCTTAATGCTGATTTCTGGGGAAGTCAATGGTGCAGCCTGAAAGTAGAAAGGGAAAAAATTAAATGTTTGAAAAGAAATATAGTAAATACTTAATCTTAATTCCTCATATGTTATGAAGGAGAGCCTTATAACTTTCAAAGACTGAAAAATGTAAACAGAAATCAAATACTCTAAACAGTGAATATATTGTCCACACACAAGGTGCTACCCAAAGGTTCCCTGAAAATGGCTTCCTCAAAATAAAAGTAAAAAAAAAGAAAAACTATGAAAAAAAATAAAATAAAAAAAATAAGGTTCTTAATTTTGGTTACCAAGTGAATGATTGTGTGAACTATTCAATAACATAACAACACTGGTTAACTTAATTGACTGATTGATCAATGTTTGAAATTACCAAAACTTGTCTGTCTGTGTGTATATATATATATATATATATATATATATTAGTGAAGAAATTGAAAAGATCTTGGTCTGACCCACTTCCTAGAATCTGACCAAACATTTGAATTGTTTTTATTCCTTCTTGGCTGCAGTAGGAAGGTTGATAGACATAGCAAGTGAATGCACAATAAATATATTGTATTTGTTTCATTATTGTAGTGCAAATGACAGATTAAAAAATGAATTTGTCAAGTTCATATACAACACCAAAAATGTAAAGAGTATAAGACATTTTAAGTTTAGATCAGCAACAATGTTGAACTACATAACTGAATGAATAATAGAGAAAATAGCATGTTCTAATAATTATAAAATCAATTATATCACAGATTGAAACAATTTGTTTAGATAATAAATAATAAACCAGGCAATAAAAAAAAAGTCAAGACTTTTAAGGAAACATTCATGTCATAATTTATCTTCAAAACTGATAACTGGTAAAAAATTAAAAAAATTAAAATTAAAATATTAAAAATAATTAAAATTACAAAGAAATTGGGCACATGTGAAGAAACATTTGTACTATTTTATGGAATCATGTTAAATGTATATCCATAGATACAAGAGATTAAATTTATGTTCATAGATACACATGAGGAGGCACAGTGGAGTAATGGATAGTGGCTCGGATTGAAGAATCGGAGAGCAAAGTTCAAATTCCAGTCAAATCCATCACGTTCACTTACGTGTTAATACCCTTGGGAAAGGGTATGAATCCTCTTTGTCTCCCCCCCAGCTATGGGTAAATAGCAGAACAGGCCAGGTTCTATAGCCTTGGATGGCAACTGTTCTAAGAAATGGTAACCTACTACAGGAAATAAAAATCTGCCTCGTCAGTCATGTATTGAAAGATACATGATCGCCTAAGTGTGTATCATGCATGGCACATAACTGACTGAGATATACATGGCTGATATACAAGACAAACCAAAAAAAAGGATGTGAAAAAATAAATAAATGTATGAAATTATAAATATCAGCTGAAATGGTCAAACTATTTTTGAATTCAAAAAATTTATTTTGATTATTCCAGTTACCATTAGAGACTTTATAAATCATAATTTCAATTATAATCTTATTGTTTTTATCAGATGGAAACAGGAAGCCATTGCTAATGAGTAATCAGCAGCTAACTGGAATTAGAAATTAATTTGCATAATTTTATATTTAATTTACTTTTATTTGATGCAAAGTCAGAGGAATAATGTAAAATAAAAAAAAAAATAATGTTTATATGACAAGAAATTGTGTATCATAAGGGGAAATAATAAAATGGTCTACAAAAAGATAAGTCATGCAATACAAGCAAATTTAATCCAAATTTTAATATTCAGGTGCTTACAATATTGTTTGTTTTTTTTTTCGTTTTTTTTTTTTACTCTAATCTAAATGTCCCTTGTTAAAAAAGGATTTTCATTATAAAAAATGTTTTAAAGGCTAATTCTATCTGGATCAACAATAAAAAATTAAAAAATAAAAATTTTGGTAAAATGATTGATTTATTTTTATCTTATCAACCAGGTTATTTAAAGCCAGAACATTTTGAATAATTCTTTTTTTTTTTTTTTTTTAACAAGTGAATATTGAATTAACAATTTTTTTAGAATACATAATTTTTACAGCTGCGAGTCCTACTGGGAGGTTTCATAGCTTTCCCAAGGGTATTTGTACATAAGTGAATGTAACAAACCCATCTGGAATTTGAACTTGGCTCTCCAATTTCTCATTCTGAGCTGCTATCCATTACACCACCTGCACATCCTTTGGTAAAAATGGAACATCAGAAATATGGTAGGGTGGGGGAGATTAATCATACATATAGAGACATCAATATGTGCTAAGTACTGTTTTATACTATAATGAGGTTAACAAAAATAAGACATGAACACTTGATTTTGCAATTTAACCAGTTCAGCAGTTTTATAGCTTGATTGTGATTAAATGAGCAGATATTGTCATTCACTTAAGGAAGTGTTGATAAAAATGAAGAAAGAAAAAGAAAATCAGATATTCTAACCCATAAGGCAAGTTTTTATTCATGATCACTTCCTTCCATTCTGACTGAATTTATCGGATGAGGAGTTATTATTTACATGATTTAAATGCAAACAATTGTTCTCATTTTTGTTGCTGTTATCACATTTCAGCTGTTGTACCCTCTAACCATCATCAGGTGCTTGTCAATCTGGGTAACTTACAGGGAATTTTGAACTCAAACCATTATTTAATATACAAGGTTAGATTATTCTTGATCCATTGACCATGTCTAGGGATATTTTGTCTAGTTCTTATTTAGTAATGCTCACCCTGTTTTAACTGAGTCAAAGTACACAATATATGGCCTAGAGATTGAACTCACAATTAATATGTCAACAAAATCATGAACTAACAATTTAATCCACTAGCCTAATGGATTAAAGAAGAGTCTCATAAATTCTTGCCATTCATAATAAATTTGGTAAAACTTAAAACTTGTTTACACTATTTACATAGTTCAAACTGTTGTTCTCATCTTTGCTGCCATATTTACGAGATTTCAGCTGTTGTATGCTCCAGCTTTCTTCAAGTCATTGGAATTTCGACCCACACCCTTTATTTCATCCACTAGGGTAGATTATTCTAGTTCCAAATGCCATGCCTCTTCTGAATATCTTGGTTTCAGTTATTTTGTGAATATGACAACAAAGATGAAGACAACAGTCCAAACAATGTAAATAGTGCAAATAGTTACAATACCACATCTCAGAAATATAGACATTAAAACTTGTTGATGTGTTTTTCTGAAAAATAGCAGGCCATAATCGAAAGCTTTTATCTCTTTATTATTTTTATATTTTATTATTATAAATAACCCTACTTTTCATTTAGTGATGTCATAAAACAACAATTCCTGGCACACAATGATGTCTCTAAGTATTATTATTTTATTTTCTGCCCATATTTCCAATATGGAGACAATGTTATATTTTACAAAAAAATTTCATATTACTGACAAAGTGAATAGCAGCTTTGATGAGTTAGCATTTATAATTAAAACTGAAAGGTGCATGGAGCTAATGAATCGATGCTGACATTTCATTAGGCTTCTATCATTACAGAATAATACAGTCTTAATATAAACACTTAAAATTTGCCTGAAGCATAACATTATTTACTGTAAACATCAGTGTGTCCTGACCTTCTCCCTTTCAGTGTAAATGGGAAAGTACACATGAACTTTGCAGCCAGTTAATTTAATCTTCTTTTATGTACCATTTCCTTTCAGGATGTAGGCGATCAGGGCTCGTCATCTTTCTTGATCTTTGTAGCTCTTAATAAATTTTTGTCTTTGTTATCTCTCCTAAACCGTGTTCTGCCATCCATTTACTAAAGTTCACTAGATAGGTTATGCATTGTTTTCCTGTCTCACTTGACCTCAATCTATCCTATGAGTATCAAATTTTTCAAGCCCTCTTTCCTCATTATGTACCCTACAAATTTCAACTACCTCTTTCTGATATTAAATGTAAGGGTTCTTTCCATTTCCATTTTCTCTAAAACTTGCTCATATATTTGGTCCATGGTCTTCTCTGCATCCCTCTGTAGAAACACATTTGTGTTACTTCAAGTCTTCTTCATCTGTGAAGAGATCATCCAGCATTCACTATCTTATATGATAGATATCACGTATCAGTACTCTTTTCTTTGCTTAACAAAACTTTCCTATTTCTTAATACTTTGCTTAGCTTTTGGAAGGCATTTAAATCAGTTAATAATAGAAAGTGCATGAGAAATGTGATCCTGTATGAAAATAGATTTATTTTTTTATAATAATTGTATGAAATAAATGGATTCTCTGCAAAAAGTATTGACTATATGATACAATTAATTTGATATAAATGAGACAACCAAAATATATCCTGATCAATAAACACCAAATACATTACAATGATAAAGGATCAATCTATATCACATATGTTGTAGGAGACAATAATGTGTTATATAGGCCACCTTTAGCTTGACATAGTGTTTCATTTTACATCATAGTGCTACAAATAAAAGCATTCTTAAGGTTAAAACAAGTCTAATTATATTAACCAAAATGTTAACCAAACATTCTTTACTCTTCTAGTTTGAACAGAAATTAATCCATTGTTGCTTAGATAAAATTAAAGGTGTACTTTTTAGTAACTGTTAGTAAAATGCCCTTTCAAAGTTATTTGATAAACTTTTTTCTCTGATATATTCTATACATACAAACAAAATGTAAGTTATTTGATGACATTGCTTACATTCATAATGAAAAGCAATCTTTTTACAGTAGATAAAGCACTCTTATTAATTTTTCTGCTACTATTCTGTTTTAGTCATCTTTAGAAAAAAAAATCCTCCCATCACAAACAGATGGTCATATTACTTGTCAAATATATCATCTGCTAAGAAAATAATGTTTCCTGTCAAGTATAGACATTGATAGCAGAAATACTAATAGGTAAGAAAACAAAAAATGACATCAACACAAATCTGAAAGTACACTTTTCTCAAGAATATAAATGAATGCCATGTGATTATGTATTGTTTAGAAGATCTATAAAAAAAAAAGAAAAAAAAACTAT